AAGTAATGTGTTGGCGTCAACGGCTTCGGCGGGTAGCCGGTTCCATGGGTTTATAACCCTGAGGGTGAGAAAACGTCTCCTGTTCTCTGTTTTAGGTTGTGGCCTGTTGAGCTTGCTGCTGTTGCCCCTTTATGTGTTACATTTGATCTTTCAAAGAAGTGGTTTGGATTAATTCCAAATTCAAATGCTTTATACATAAATGTTTGTACATTTATAGCTGAGTTAATGTCCACAAATTTGCAATAAATTATTCACCGAAGCGAATGTCATTGTAATAACATAACACGAATACCCAAATTTTAGATATAGATTTAGAAGCTACATTTATTAGTGTTTTATAAATCATTAGTTTCAAAATCAGATTCAGTTGTGTTTCGGAGCCCCTTCCATTTCTCTCCAAATCCGGCTTTAAGAGTCATATCAGCTTACCCCTGCTGATTCTCTGAGATGCAGGGAGTCAGTTGATATATGTGGCGACCAGATCGGCCGCCTGATAAAGGAGAAATTTGCATTTTTAAGTTTGTAGGTAAAGGGGGGGGGGGAAGTAGCGCCCTTGAGACAAACAAATTGGCGCCTTTTACCTGCAGATCCGCCATTTTGTGGAGGACGCCAACCGGCTGCGGATTGGCTGGCTTAGGTCACGTGCCGCGGGCGACCAATCAGCGACCGCCGTGACGTTACCGAGTGCCCCTGGCGGCGCCAGCGGAGGTGGCGTCAGAGTTAATCTTACTGGAAGCGAGAGGACGTGCCTCGATCAGCTCTCGAGGACTGGAGGCTCTGAGAGTCTCAGTGGATTATAGCTAGCCATCGCAGCTCACCATTGTTACTGGAGACCCTGTGCTCCTGGGAAGCAAGAAGAAACCAAGTTAATTGGGCAGAGAAGTGCCAAAACTTGAAAAATCGGTCGGCAACGACGTTGGAGGGCGCCGCCTGTCGATTGAGGGGACTAGACGGTGTGGCGGACAGCCCTGCTGTGACCGGGTCACATTAACTGAGGTCGGTGGAGGGACGACACCGATCCTAGGGCAAGGAGCAACGCCTTGTGGAAGGAATGAGTGTGTGTGTATACAGTGATTAGCTCAGTGCCCACTGGGTGGACCAGATTGGAATATTTGAAACTCTGGGAGTGGTTCGGCGATGACGCGACAGCTTCACGACACCTGAGGACTTGTAACACGTTGCTGAATCGTCAAGAACCGACTCAGGAAGCGTGGGAACCTCACACCATCGAGTATCAGGCGTCATGAGCCAGGAATGTTGATAGGTAGATCAATTTTCCCTCCCATTACCCCTTGTTGAGTAGGCTAGATAGGCCACGATGTTTATCTATACATGTTTCTCTATAACATTGATACATTAGTATTAGGATAGGCTGTAAACAAGCTTGTGTCCAGAACTGTTGAAGAGGATAATGTGTGTGGACGACGTGGCAGTTGGAGGGACGGTGGCTGACGTTGACGAAGCGGCCTCCCTGTGAGAGGGTGTGAGACCCCTTTTTGAATCTGCCCAGCTGACGGAGCTGCCAGAGGTTGTGAGAGAAGAGTAACCGACGATCTCCAGATTATATATTCTTTATGTCCAGTCCTGTATCATTATTATTGTATAGGTGATCATGTAGCTTATGTTAGGAAATATCACATATTTTATCACTGTGTTTAAGTGCGCCTCCATACTGATCTCTATGAGCATACACGAGGGATATCATAGTCCCACCTAGTGAACAGTAAGTTTTCTATAGAAGTTTCTTAGTGGCTGGAGGGTGGTAAAGCAACACAGACTTTTATGAAAGTGTACCCCTTAGTCTGGCAGTCCAGTATCAATGCTGTAGGAGTGGCAACACTTTGGCAACAAGCAACATAGTGTATACCGACTGAACTGCACTGCTGGGGTGCAGAGATATCAACCCAGCTGGCGACCTTGTTTAGAGAAATGCAGGTGGGAAAGGAATTCCTGCAACTTTTGTCTGGCAGGCAAGACCCAGGGGAAGTATTGTTAAAAGGTAAGCCTTCAATCCTCCGTGGGTCTAGGCCGGAATTAATAATAACAGTTTCCCCATGGCTGACTGAAGAGCTCCCAGGGGTGAATCTGTGGCACCCCTAGTGGTGGGAGTGAAGACCTGTGTAGTAGTAGATGATGTGTAGACATCTACACATGTGTAGATGTCTACACATCAAAAAGTCAATACCAGCAATCAACAGCCAATTAATGCACAACTATATTCTACCTACTTCAAGACCCCGAACCAATATGGAAGCAGCAAGAGGATGTATGGGCCAATAGACCTTCTGCAGTTACTTCCATTCATATGTTCACTTATCCAATTTATACCCATTGTTTCGTGTTCTGTCTTGTGTTTGTCACCTCACCCAGAACTTTTGTATCATTTCACCTCATCCAATAGAGTATAAGTACGAAGAATTTGTGTGTAAATTAAGTCTTTGAAAATGTAATACGAATTACGAAACGCGTTCAGGCGTCAGACAATTAAAAAATGAATTTCGTAGAATTGTTATTTTTATTACCATCGGCAGTGAAGAAAAACATAAGAAATATTGAGAAGATTCGTGTTAGAATTATTAATCTTACCTTTTCGGTCATATTCAACAACATATGTTTACAAGAAAGACTGCTACCAAAATATATATATAATATATATATATATATATATATATATATATATATATATATATATATATATATATATATATATATATATATATATATATATATATTAGTATATTTTGGTAGCAGTCTTTCCTGTAGACATATATTATTAAATATGACCGAAAAAGTAAGATTAATAATTCTAACACGAATTTTCTCAATCTTTCGTACATTACGCTTCACTGTTGGAGGTAAATCAAAAATCACTTCTTCAAAATTCATTTTTATTTCTAGTCTGACGTGACACGGGCGCGTTTCGTAAAACTTATTACATTTTCAAAGACTTCACAAATACACAACTGATTAGAACTTGCGTATCTCTGATTTTATATCTACATTTGAGTGAGGTGGGAGGGGTGATGTGGCATTAACACAAGACAGAACAAGAGGGGATATTAATAGGGTATTACAAGTATCAACACAAGACAGAACAGAAACAATGGGTATTGAATAGAAGTGTTTGTAGAAAGCCTATTGGTCCATATTTCTTGATGCTTCTATATTGGAGCGGAGTCTTGAGGTGGGTAGAATATAGTTGTGCAATAATTGGCTGTTGATTGCTGGTGTTGACTTCTTGATGTGTAGTGCCTCGCAAACGTCAAGCCGCCTGCTATCGCTGTATCTATCGATGATTTCTGTGTTGTTTACTAGGATTTCTAATCCTAGTAAACAACACAGAAATCATCGATAGATACAGCGATAGCAGGCGGCTTGACGTTTGCGAGGCACTACACATAATAACAGTTTCTAATCTAGGATTTCTAATCCTAGTAAACAACACAGAAATCATCGATAGATACAGCGATAGCAGGCGGCTTGACGTTTGCGAGGCACTACACATCAAGAAGTCAACACCAGCAATCAACAGCCAATTATTGCACAACTATATTCTACCCACCTCAAGACTCCGCTCCAATATAGAAGCATCAAGAAATATGGACCAATAGGCTTTCTACAAACACTTCTATTCAATACCCATTGTTTCTGTTCTGTCTTGTGTTGATACTTTTAATACCCTATTAATATCCCCTCTTGTTCTGTCTTGTGTTAATGCCACATCACCCCTCCCACCTCACTCAAATGTAGATATAAAATCAGAGATACGCAAGTTCTAATCAGTTGTGTATTTGTGAAGTCTTTGAAAATGTAATAAGTTTTACGAAACGCGCCCGTGTCGCGTCAGACTAGAAATAAAAATGAATTTTGGAGAAGTGATTTTTGATTTACCTCCAACAGTGAAGCGTAATGTACGAAAGATTGAGAAAATTCGTGTTAGAATTATTAATCTTACTTTTTCGGTCATATTTAATAATATATATATATATATATATATATATATATATATATATATATATATATATATATATATATATATATATATATATATATATATATATATATATATATATATATATATACATAATGTGTGTGTGTGTGTGAATGAAAACTCCACACCCCAGAAGTGACTCGAACCCGGACCGCCATGAGCACATTGCACCTGGTGTACACAGTGCCTTAAACCACTCGACTTTAACCACTCGACCATCAGTGACAGTACAAAAAGTGGTGATAGCCGAAGCTATTTTAACTACCACCCCAACGGCGCTTTGATGGTAATCTTGGGCCTAGCTTTTCATCAAATCACCTCATTTTTTGTGGAGCCACGTAAGCAACACAAATGCGAACAAGCTTGAATGGTCCCCAAGCATATATGCGAATGAAAATTCCACACCCCAGAAGTGACTCGAACCCGGACCGCTAGGAGCACATTGCAACTGGTGTACACGGTGCCTTAAACCACTTGACTATCAGTGACCGTTCAAAAAGTGGTGATAACCGAGGCTATCACCACTTTTTGTGGAGTTTTCGTTCGCATATATGCTTGGGGACCATTCAAGCTTGTTCGCATTTGTGTTACTCACGTTGCCCCACAAAGTGAGGTGATTCGATGAAATATCTATACACAAGCTTACCACCAAGTGCTGTCGGGATGTTGGATAAATGTCTTTTGAACAGTCATGGTGGTCGAGAGGTTAAGGAACCGGGTACGCCATGTTTATAGTGCTTCTGGGTTCGAATCCTTCTAGAGTGTGGAGTTTTCAGTTGCATATACGCTTGAGGACTATTCAAGCTTGTTCGCATATATAATATATATTTATATCTAATTAGGGTAGTTGTAAAAGAGACAATAAACAGGAACATTTATGAGCATCACGAGATATTACACTACAGAGTGACATTCAGTTCTGACTTCCGTCGTCACCAGGGAAGTGTGTGTGCGAAGAGGTAGACGCCCAGGAGGAGACCCGCTAGCACCTGGGTAGAGTCCGGATCAGTTACGGGTAGTAGCCCTTCACAGGTCCGGGCCCGGTAGGGTACACGGCCTTGCCCTCGAAGGTGACGGTGGGGTGGTAGCCGAACTGGTCGGCCAGGTACTCGACCAGCATGCGACGGGAGTCCGGCAGCTGGACGTAGTAACTATAGCGGGAGGGAGGGAAAGTGAACCGTGTTGAAAATTTGGCAAGTAATGGCAGTGGTTACTTGTCACCCCTCTGAGACAGACACCGGACGGGCAGCTATATAGTCTGCTGAATTATATATGTAATTAGACGGAATTACGAGATTTTATTGAACCATGATTTAAAGCATTGATGCTTCAGGTTTTAGCAAACGGTTATCGTTAAGTTAGTGATCAAGCATTCGTCATTACAGCCGGTTGGTGGCCTGCAAGATATTTTTCTGCTGGCGATCATAGACTTACCTGTCCTTTGCTGATGCCAGTAGACTCACCTGCCATCTGCTGGGGACCATAGACTCACCTGCCCTTTGTGCTGTCTCCGTCCCTCTGTTCCTGGTGACCGTAGGAATTGCCTGAAGGAGGGTCGTTAACCTCCCATTGGAAGTTGTACTTCGCCGGGCCGATGGGTCCAATGGGGCCTCCAGGAACACCATACCCGCCCTGGGGCCGCGCCAGCGCCACCACCGCCGCCGCCGCCGACAGTACCAGAATTGTTGCCTGCAAAGAGACAATAATACACTCACTGTAGTGACTGAGGAATACTTCCTGAACACTGTCAGCCATCACGTGTCTTCAGCAAACGTCCAATAGTTCGCTAGTGAATATCTTGATGAAGAGAAACAAGCAATTTTGCAAAAAAAAAAATTATTAACGCAACTAAAACAACGTAAATTTTCCAGGAAGCACTTCTCGTCGACATGTTTAAGAACCAGTCATACAAATAAATCAAAATTATTTTGCCTACAGTGAAAATTTTGCTTAAAAATGAAAATCTGCAGGAGGCAAGATATACGTTTGTCAGAGTTAGTTGGAGCCGTGAGTGTAAAGTGGTACACTGAGCGGATACCTTCATGTTCGTCAGTGTTGAAGGTGTGAGCTCCAGTGGTGACCAGTGAGGGACTCCGGACTTTATATGAGTGCCTAAGAAGACGGAACCGGTGACAGGTGGGCGGGGCCCCTCTCCTTCCTGTCTCACCCAACCACAAATAATTTAGTAGACAAAATAATATAGATATGAAACATTAGCAACCTGGCAGTTTTCTCACGGCTAATTCTTGAGTCTGCTGCTGGAACGTTTCGAAACAATGTAAGATCGAAACATTTTCTCTGGTAATTTCTTATATCCTTTCTCCGCTAGTAGCAAAATAACATTTAGAAAGTTGTGGATAATGTGACAAATGTTAATATTTGTTATTTTTGTTAACAAGCAACATTACTTGCTGGAGGAGGCGTGAGTAGGCGTCTACCCAAGTGTTGACACAAGTTGTGGACGCTGTGTTAACATTTACATGGGGCTAGACTAGGATACTGAGAGTGGAATGTATACTGATTTGCTGGAGATATTAAAAAAGTTTATTTATCGATAGTGTTGAAGTGATATGTATCATGAATTCTGTGATTGTGTTGCTGAAGTATTTTAATTTATATATAGTGACTCAGAATACACTAGTCAATATATAATCATGAGTCAAATGCATAATCAATAATTATGTATAGTTGATAAATGATTTGAGATAAATTTTGTAGCAGTGGTTTAATACCCATGTATTTTATCTATCTTCGTGTTTTTGTCATATTTCCTTTTGAAGTGTCTGAAGCTTGTATGATAATAAGATGTAACATATATACCATTAACTCCATCACAATAACGCATTGACACGAACTCTTCCCCCCTCACTCTTGCAGTTCATTTTCCCCTTCCCTCTTACACCCTGTATGTCTTTTCCCTCTGAGGTTCCAATATTTTTGTTGGCTTTTTCACTATTTACTTAAATATTCAGTATTAACGATATCATAGGGCTCACATATTTCTTTCTTATTGTAATTAAAATAACATTAGCATCATTTGCAGGCACTACTTGTTCATTGAATAGTTTAATTACGATATTAGATCAATATTTACATATACACCCAAGACTTCTTTTCACTAAATGGACATCACGCCGCGCATGTGCAGTGGCCCGAAACGTTCCCCAGTTGGCGCCAATTTTAGAGTTATCGTCCCGAACACTGCAGATATACATGACTTTTGTATGTTTGTATACAGTGTAGGATATGACGGTTTATACACTGGTAAGATAACCCCCTTCTTTACATTGGTGGATAAGCGTTACTCATGTTATACTTTGGTGGTGGTATATTCATAATATACTTTATATATGTTTGTTAGTCCTTCATTAATTTTATGTTAATAAATTATAATTAGAATGACAGTTTTTATAACCCCTCACGGTTAATATCCAGCCTATATCGCGGTTAATCCAGCCTATCATCCAACGATAATAGCAGCTAGTGTAGATGGGCGTCCAAAGTATAGACTACTGCACCCTACACAAAGTTACGTTTTGCGCTGCTGTTATGAGGCTCGAGAAAGAACGTAACAGCCCATCCTAGCCTATCCTAGCCCTAGTATGGCACATCTTATAATAAACTGTGTTTAGGATTATGTATGTTAGGCCTCGGTTAGGTTAGGTTAGGTTAGGTTAGGTTCATGGATGCTCTGCTTTTTTTGTTAGGCAGTTTTTTTTACTTCCAATTTTACTAAATTTCAACTTTCGGGGAACAACAGTTTACATATTGTACATTCCATCCATGGTAGATATAGTTACTATCATAAGATGGATTGAATTCGTCACCGAGATAAGACAAGCAACCCGTTCTCGCAAATTTAATAAGTCAATATTGACTTATTAAATATGTGCATAGGTGACATACTTAACATAATAGTTTCCCTTGAAAAGCTTCATAGAAAACACCGACCTTACCTAACCTTCTTAGTATGTTAAGATAAGCATCTTATTGCTTCGTAATTACAATTATTACCTAACCTATACCTATAATAGGTTAAGTAACAATTGTAATTACGAAGCAATAAGATGCTTATTTTAACATACTAAGTAGGTTAGGTACGGTCGGTGTTTTCTATGAAGTTTTTCAAGGGAAACTATTATGTTTAGTATGTCACCTATGCACGCAACTAATAAGTCAATATTGGCTTATTAAATTTGCGAGAACGGGTTGGACAAGATGGATTGAATTAATCACCAAAATAACACAAGATGGATTGAATTAATCACCAAGATAACACAAGATGGATTGAATTAATCACCAAGATAACACAAGATGGATTGAATTAATCACCAATTTCTTGGTGATAAGAAATCTATTGATTGATAATCAATAGATTTACCTAGTGATTCCAGGAGTTACTAACAGTGTATCATTCCTCTTCACACCGGAGCGCAGCCCCTTAACCAGGGTAAGCACTGTGTTGCTGTCTTGAGGTTTGACATAGAGAGTAATTTCCTTAGAACTTAGCAATAAACATAAGTTGAAGTAAGGTTAGGCATTAATACTTCAGTTTAGGGTAATGAGAGAGTCTCTCTCTAATGACTCGCTGCACAAATGTAAATAGAATAGTAATTAGGAGTTGGGTTATGAATCTTAGCTCTGGTGGTGGTGTGCCAATGGCAGTATCTGCACCAGTTAACTGATTGTCGGGTACCCGCTGGTGATCTGAATGTCAGGTAGGTAGCAAGCGCTGGTGATCTGAGTGTCGGGTAGCAGACGATGATAATCTGAATGTCAGATAGCCAGCAGATGCTGGTGATTTAGATTACAAACTTTAGCGGACGGCGCAGACGATCCAGAGTGTGATTTTGTAGATACTGTTTATCTGAGTGACAGATGACAGGCATCACTCTCACCTGTCATCAACAGCCCCCCCTCCCCCCATCCCTCCAACACCTCAACCAATCCCCCCTCAAAACCTCCCCACAATCTCCCCCGTTCACTACACCCCCCCAACACCATGGGGGAACTGCAGCAAAAGCCATCATGTGTTAGGTAAGGAGTGCTTACAGCCTCCATTACTCTCTCCTGCAGGTGTATTTCTGTAGCCATGTAAGTGTTACTTGGCGGAGAGGGGAAGTGTTCAGGGGAGAGAGAGAGGAGAGGGGCAGAGAGTAGAGGGGGAGGAGGGCAGAGAAGGAGGAGAGGAGGAACAATGCAGGAAAAGAGAGGTAACGGAAGCAGGAGGACAAGAGAAAAAGGTAGACATACACAGGGATAAAATAAAAAAGGGGAATAATAAAACTAGAGAAGCCTAAAATGCTTTAAGGAACAAAATTAAGAAAGCAGAGTGGAAAGCGAATAAAGGCAAAGAAAGTGAACAAAGAGAAAAATGCATGAAGTAGAGAGAAAACGAGATATTGATTGAAAGAAATGGAAGATGGGAAGATGAGGATATAGGAAGAGAAGGGGTGAAGAGAAGGGGAACATGGAGGAGGATTGAAAATCGAGGAGGGAAAGGCAGAGTGGTTTGAATGCACCTCCCTTCCCCTCAAGAGCACCCCCTCCCCTCAAGAGCACCCCCTCCCCTCAAGAGCACCCCCTTCCCCTCAAGAGCACCCCTCTTCCCTCAAGAGCACCCCTCTTCCCTCAAGAGCACCCCCTTCCCCTCAAGAGCACCCCCTTCCCCTCAAGAGCACCCCCTTCCCCTCAAGAGCACCCCCTCCCCTCAAGAGCACCCCCCTCCCCTTCAAGAGCACCCCTCCCCTCAAGAGCACCCCCCCTTCCCTCAAGAGCACCCCCTTCCCCTCAAGAGCACCCCCGCCCTCCCCTCAAGAGCACCCCTCTCCCCTCAAGACCCCTCCCCCCTCCCCTCAAGAGCACCCCACTTCCCTCAAGAGCACCCCCTTCCCCTCAAGAGCACCCCCTTCCCCTCAAGAGCACCCCCTTCCCCTCAAGAGCACCCCTCTCCCCTCAAGAACACCCCCCTCCCCACAAGAGCACCCCTCTCCCCTCAAGAGCACCCCCCTCCCCACAAGAGCACCCCCTACCCCTCAAGAGCACCCCTCTCCCCACAAGAGCACCCCCGCCCTCCCCTCAAGAACATCACTTTCCCCTCCCGCGCCTCACTCTGGACAAATCACAGTGAACATATTGATCTCTTATAATATTTGTATATGTATGCGTGACAGAAAGTGATGGAGACTCCATGATCGTGTCTGTAATGAACCCCAGGGGATGAGAGACCGGCTAGGTGTGGCCGGATGCCTGCCTGCTGAACCACTGGGGACTATACCAGACCGGCTAGGTGTGGCCAGATGCCTGCCTGGTGAACCACTGAGGACTAAACTAGACCAGCTACAAATTTGCTTGATATTCAGCGAACGAAACCAATTTTATAGCTGCGAGTTCACGCTGATCCCATGCCACCTCAAGTGGCCGCACGACGTAACCTTATTCCCGGAACTGTGCCAAGGCCGATGTAGGAATTAAAAGCATGCGTGAAGCTGTTTGTCTAGGAACGAGTGCCACAAGGGAGGTCAGCTCCTAAATGACGATTATGTCAGCAAAAGCTGTCTGCATCAAAGGCTTAGTTGAACGTTTCCTGAGGTTATAGCGCTAGCCTGGATCTCCCATGGGGGCCAGTAACACTATCTCCTGCCTCCCACGACCACTAGAACGTATCTCCCACCTTCCAGGAGTCATTAACATGCATCTCCCACCTCTCAGTAAGCAGTAACACTTATCTTTAGTTCTGTACGACTGACAGACACAGTTGGGAAAAAGAAAAGGAGCAGGAAGACTATTCTGAAAGAGGAGGAAGTCGCATTCGAAGCAAAAACAGACAGACCAATTCGTCTCCTCCGTGAAGAAACAAACATGCCTTTATAGTTATTAATTTCAAATCAGAGCGACGAAGATTGAAACTTTCTTATCTTAAAATATCCAGCGGAATCGGACAAAAACTGACAGATGTTCAAAATACATTGACTCGGAGTTGCCCTGAAGTTATGCACCCCAAAATAGATCACTAAATGTTCACGAGCTCTTAAAACGTAAGTAACGCGGAAAGTAATGTGTCTCGTGAGCTGAGGAAGAGACTGGTCAATGCACTTTTAATGCACGATAATGTAGAGCGCTGAGAGAGAATGCAGGCTGGCAGGTGCGCCTGAGCGAGTCACTGCACACCGGCTCTGTGTTGCCGGATAGATGCCAGCCGGCTTTAGGGAGAGTGTGATTTAAGTGGTGTGTGTTGTGTTGTGTTGCCGGCCGGATTTTGTTTTTTGGTGCGTTTTGGCTTGCTGTGTGTTTATGTGGTGTGTCTTGTGTTGTTGAATGCTTATATGGTGTGTGTGTTGGCCCGCTATGTGCTTTATATGGTGTGTTTTGTGTTGCTGAGTATTTACGTGGTATGTTGTAAGCCTGATATACAGTTTATGTGGTGTGTTACTGGGAAGCTCTATATGTTATGTGTTGTTTGTAGTGTTCTTGGATGGCTGTGTTGTTCATCAGGTGTGTCTATGTATCCTTATACATGATATATGTCAGACACGAGGTGTATGGTAGGTGTCGTGGGCTACATGACGCATGCCAGCCAGGAGATGTAGGGTATGTGTCATGAGCAGTATGATACATGTCAAACAGAAGTGTACAGTGCCTGTCATGGCTAACGTGACCATCAAACGATCAGGTTATTTCACTAAAGGCTATACTTGAACCCCAAGTATATTCCTTGAACAAGGAATCTTTGTTCCATTTTAGCCAAATATATTTGCACTTCAAGTCTTCATAAGAAGATTTAAGTGTATTTTTAATTCAGCTTGACTTATTCCTGCGAAGTTTATGTAATTCCTCCATACACACACACACGCATCCACCCACCCACATGCTAGCACCTCTCTCAACCACACCCACATGCTAGCACCTCTCTCAACCACACCCACATGCTAGCACCTCTCAACCACACCCACATGCTAGCACCTCTCTCAACCACACCCACATGCTAGCACCTCTCAACCACACCCACATGCTAGCACCTCTCTCAACCACACCCACATGCTAGCACCTCTCTCAACCACACCCACATGCTAGCACCTCTCAACCACACCCACATGCTAGCACCTCTCTCAACCACACCCACATGCTAGCACCTCTCAACCACACCCACATGCTAGCACCTCTCAACCACACCCACATGCTAGCACCTCTCTCAACCACACCCACATGCTAGCACCTCTCAACCACACCCACATGCTAGCACCTCTCAACCACACCCACATGCTAGCACCTCTCTCAACCACACCCACATGCTAGCACCTCTCTCAACCACACCCACATGCTAGCACCTCTCAACCACACCCACATGCTAGCACCTCTCAACCACACCCACATGCTAGCACCTCTCTCAACCACACCCACATGCTAGCACCTCTCAACCACACCCACATGCTAGCACCTCTCTCAACCACACCCACATGCTAGCACCTCTCTCAACCACACCCACATGCTAGCACCTCTCTCAACCACACCCACATGCTAGCACCTCTCAACCACACCCACATGCTAGCACCTCTCTCAACCACACCCACATGCTAGCACCTCTCAACCACACCCACATGCTAGCACCTCTCTCAACCACACCCACATGCTAGCACCTCTCAACCACACCCACATGCTAGCACCTCTCTCAACCACACCCACATGCTAGCACCTCTCAACCACACCCACATGCTAGCACCTCTCTCAACCACACCCACATGCTAGCACCTCTCAACCACACCCACATGCTAGCACCTCTCTCAACCACACCCACATGCTAGCACCTCTCAACCACACCCACATGCTAGCACCTCTCTCAACCACACCCACATGCTAGCACCTCTCAACCACACCCACATGCTAGCACCTCTCTCAACCACACCCACATGCTAGCACCTCTCAACCACACCCACATGCTAGCACCTCTCTCAACCACACCCACATGCTAGCACCTCTCAACCACACCCACATGCTAGCACCTCTCAACCACACCCACATGCTAGCACCTCTCAACCACACCCACATGCTAGCACCTCTCTCAACCACACCCACATGCTAGCACCTCTCAACCACACCCACATGCTAGCACCTCTCTCAACCACACCCACATGCTAGCACCTCTCAACCACACCCACATGCTAGCACCTCTCAACCACACCCACATGCTAGCACCTCTCTCAACCACACCCACATGCTAGCACCTCTCAACCACACCCACATGCTGGCACCTCTCTCAACCACACCCACATGCTAGCACCTCTCAACCACACCCACATGCTGGCACCTCTCTCAACCACACCCACGTGCTAGCACCTCTCAACCACACCCACATGCTAGCACTTCGATCCATTAGTTCATTCCATTTTATCACTATTCTTACGCTGAAAGAATTTTGTTAACATCTCTATGACTCATTTGAGTCTCCAGCTTCCATCCATGCCTTCTCGTTATATTGGTATTCATTGTGAACATTTCCTCTTTTTCCACTCTGTCAGTCCCCATAAGTATTTTGTATGTCTCTATCATGTCTCCCCCTTCTCTTCTCCTATCTCGCGTTGTCAGGTTTGGTTCATTTAGTCGCGCTTCGTACCTTATCCTTCGCAATTCTGGGGCGAGTCTCGTAACAAACATCTGAACCTTTTCGAGTTTCCTTGTGTGTTTTTTTAAAATGTAGGTTTTGTGATGGGACGTCGTTCTCTAAAACTTGTCTCGCGTCGGCGGTATACAGCGATCTAAATGCTTCCTTATTTAGGTTCCTGAATGATATTCTGACTTTCGCTAGTGTAGAGTATGCTGCTGACGTTATCTTAATTGGGTGAGTCTGCGTAGTTAAATTTGGTGTTATGTCTACTCCCAGGTCTATTCATCTTTTCCTTATAGGGAGGTAGTTTCCCCTCCATCGTGTACTTGCCTTTTAGTCTTCTGTCACATGATCACATTTCCATCACCTTACACTTTCTGGTGCTGAACTCTAGTAGCCAGTTACCGGACTATCTCTGCAGCTTGTTTAAACTGCAGAGCTTAAACAAAGTCCAGTAGAATCTTACAATCCACATCTGTCACAACTTATTTTATTAATTTTACATCGTCTACAAATATTGATATATAAGACTCAACCCCTGTAGATAGGTTATGTACATAAATGAGGAATAGTAATGAGGACAGCACTAATCCTTGAGGTACTTCGCTTGTTACCCTTCTCCAGTCCGACTTCTCGCCCCTCACTGTTACTCTCTTACTCCTGTCTGTCAGGATTTTTTTACCCATGTTAGTGCTTTTATGCTTACTCCCGCCTGCCTCTCTTGTTTGTATAGTAATCTCCCTGTGAGATACTGTTTCAAAGGCTTTTTGGCAGTGTAGAAATAAACAAGCAACATAACCTTCCCTATCTTGCTTTATTTTCGTTACCTTATCATAGAACATCAGTAGGTTCGTCAGGCGTGATTTCCTTTACCCTAAAGTCTTGCTGTTGTGTGTTTTCATATCTAATTCTCTCCAGGTGTGTAACTAGTCTTAACCTTATTATTCTTTCGAGTGCTTTGCAAAAGATGCTTGTCAGTGACACCGGTCTGTAGTTTAGTGCCACGTCCCTATCTCCTTATTTTTAAATTGGTACCACCTTTGCTCTCTTCCAACAACTGGGCAATTCTCCCCTTTTAAGCGACTCATTAAAAGATCAGTGCTAGAAGTACACTGAGTGCCTGTGCCACTTCATTTAAAACCAATGATGGTATTTGGTCTGGTCCAATTGTGGTGGTATTTGGTCTGGTCCAATTGTGGTGGTATTTGGTCTGGTCCAATTGTGGTGGTATTTGGTCTGGTCCAATTGTGGTGGTATTTGGTCTGGTCCAATTGTGGTGGTATTTGGTCTGGTCCAATTGTGGTGATATTTTGTGTGGTCCAATTGTGGTGGTATTTTGTCTGGTCCAATTGTGGTGATATTTTGTGTGGTCCAATTGTGGTGGTATTTTGTGTGGTCCAATTGTGGTGGTATTTTGTCTGGTCCAATTGTGGTGATATTTTGTGTGGTCCAATTGTGGTGGTATTTTGTCTGGTCCAATTGTGGTGATATTTTGTGAGGTCCAATTGTGGTGGTATTTTGTCTGGTCCAATTGTGGTGATATTTTGTGTGGTCCAATTGTGGTGGTATTTTGTCTGGTCCAATTGTGGTGATATTTTGTCTGGTCCAATTGTGGTGATATTTTGTCTGGTCCAATTGCTTTAGTTACATCTCGTGATGCTAATTGTTTACTTAAGCTGTTGTTACCTCAATATTTAATAGTCTCTCATCAGGGGTTACCTCTTCTTCCAGTACTGAGAGCTGTCCAGGCTCAGTCGTGAACACTCCATGGAAGCTGGCATTGAGTTCCTCACACATTTCCTCATTATTTTCTGTATATTCATCTCCCCTTTTTCGTAATCTAGTCACTTGGTCATTCAATGTCAATATCCTTCTTATGTGACTATGTAGACGTTTCAGTTGTTTCTTTGTTTTGGAAGCAATATTTTCATAGTTTCCGGCACTTTTATATTTTATATGATTGTGTGTGTGTTGCTTTGTATGCATATGTGTATATGTGTGGGTGTTAACAATTATGTGATGAAAATTTACCTTTTTTGAGGTTTAATGTATTTATTAAAAAATAAAGCTTCTATCACACAGATAAAATATAGATCTTTGAGCAGTCTCCAGATGCCCTTTACAAGGCACTGAGCTTATCACTTTCATAATGAGGTTATATTGAGCCGGGAGAAGCATAGTGACATCAACGAGGGTTGGGTGGTAGGATCGAGCAGCTGAAAAGGATGTGGAAAGGTCTGTGACAGTGACCTAGCTGAGTCCAGGTCCCACTGAATGTGAGATTCGGTTAAGGGTAGTAGCCCTTCTGGGGTCCAGGTCCGGTTGGGTACACGGCCTTGCCCTCGAAGGTGACGGTGGGGTGGTAACCGAACTGGTCGACGAAGTACTCAACCAGCATGCGGCGGGTGTCTGGCAGCAGGACGTAGTAACTACGAGGGAGAGACGGTGAATGTGGTCAGCTGCTTCAGCATGTTTACATAACACATGAAGAAGACAAATGAAAAACGAAATCATTTGTATTTGCTTTACGAACATGAAAATCAATAATATAAATAGTAAGGTTAAAATGTTTGTAATAATATATCTTTTCTTTTTAAATTATTATTTGAATTTCTTATGTTCATCTAACATGCTATACTTGGCTAGTATGGGTTATGATGACAACCTTTTAACCGAAGGATAGGAGACTGACTAAGAGCTTCATTTCCATGGGATTAGACTCACTTGCCCTTTGCTGCTGGGGCCCGTAGACTCACCTGCCCTTTGTGCTGTCTCCGTCCCTCTGTTCCTGGTGACCGTAGGAATTGCCTGAAGGAGGGTCGTTAACCTCCCATTGGAAGTTGTACTTCGCCGGGCCGATGGGTCCAATGGGGCCCCCAGGAACACCATACCCGCCCTGGGGCCGCGCCAGCGCCACCACCGCCGCCGCCGCCGACAGTACCAGAATTGTTGCCTGCAAAGAGACAATAATACACTCACTGTAGTGACTGAGGAATACTTCCTGAACACTGTCAGCCATCACGTGTCTTCAGCAAACGTCCAATAGTTCCTCTTAAAAATATCGTCGCTTTTGGCCTTTTGCCCGTATGGCCGAATATGGACGTAATTTGAAAATGAAAAAAAAATGAAAATAAATTTGGGATTTTTTTTTTCAACAACAGTAAGTTAAGGGTCCTCTGATAGGTTAGGTGGGCAGGAAATTCTCATAAACTTTCAAAACGGTATGAAAAACGTTAATGAAAAGTTTCCTTTTCTAAGCTGGCCGAGTAAGCCGGACGACTCAAACAGAAAACGGAACAGTATGTCACTTTTGTGAGTCGATTACATTTCAAATTACGTCCAAATTTGGCCATAGCGCGCATACGAGCGAAAAATGACGTTATTTCTAAGAGGACGGGTTGCGCTAGCAAATATCTTGATGAAGCATTTTTGCAACAAAACATTTGAATAACACGGGGTAAAATATCCTTAATTTTCAATAAAATTAACTCCTCGCCAACATGTTTCAGCACCAAACTTGTAAAATACAGATAAATTGCTTTGGGCAATATGGAAATTTTGCACGGAAAAAGGTGAACTTCTACAGGAGGCAAGATATACACTTGGAAAAAGTTAACTGGAGCCGTGAGTGTAAAGTGGTACACTGAGCGGATACCTTCATGTTCGTCAGTGTTGAAGGTGTGAGCTCCAGTGGTGACCAGTGAGGGACTCCGGACTTTATATGAGTGCCTAAGAAGACGGTACCGGTGACAGGTGGGCGGGGACCCCTCTCCTTCCTGGCGCACTCAACATTCACACTTTCAGTCTTCCGGAGTGACGTCGCTACACCCGCCTGTCTGTTTTGTGGCCTCCGGGAGCCGCTGTGGCGTGAGGCGAACATCTGTTTGTGGTTGAGAGGAAAACCTCAAACACACACTGGAAATGGTGTGTCTGCTTAATTAATATTCTATTTATTTATTATTATTTTTGATTGTTATTTATATTTTATTTATTTATTTATTTATTATTATTATTATTATTATTATTATTATTTAAATAATTTTTATTATTATTATTATTAATTTTATTTTTATCGATACTAATATTTACATTTACCGGGCTTGGGGACGTTGCAATTTTTGGATGTTGAGTAACGTAACAAAATAACGAAGCGAATTGCGTAACGAAGCGAATCGCGTAACGAAGCGAATCGCGTAAAGGAACGTAACGGAATGACGTAACAGAGTAACGTAATGAAATAACGGAATGACGCAATGGAAATAAAAACTAACGTAATAACGTACTGGAATAATGCACCAAATTAACGTAACGGAATACACTAACCTAATAAAGTACCCGAATAATGTAAAATGAATAAAGTGATGAATTAAGGTAACGGAGAAACGTAACGAAATAATCCAACGAGTTAACGTAACATAGCGAAATAACGGAAGGGAATAACGCAACCAAAAAAGTGGCAGAATTACGTAATGTAATAACGAAATCTGTGCATTCAATCCGAATATAGAGCAGGGAGCATTTAGATGCGGTCTGAAAACTCTGTTGCATCATTACTGATGTAATGCGAAGGTTTCAACTGCTCTATAGTGTTTCATACTGCTCTATGGTGCTTCATACTGCTCTATGGTGCTTCATACTGCTCTATGGTGCTTCATACTGCTCTATGAGGCTTCATACTGCTCTATGGTGCTTCATACTGCTCTATGAGGCTTCATACTGCTCTATGGTGCTTCATACTACTCTATGGTGCTTCATACTGCTCTATGGTGCTTCACACTGCTCTATGGTGCTTCATACTGCTCTATGAGGCTTCATACTGCTCTATGGTGCTTCATACTGCTCTATGGTGCTTCATACTGCTCTATGGTGCTTCTATGCAGGTTATTGCTGCTGTATGATACTTTAAATTGTTTTGTGTTGCCTTCTAAGGCATTAAAGATCAGCTTTGTGTTGCTCTATAATAGTTTATGCTGTTTTATACTGCTCTATGCTGCTCTATACTGTTTAATGTTGCTCTAAACTGCTTTATGATGCTCTATATTGTTTTATACTACTCGTTGCTGCTCCAAACTTCTCAATACTGCTTTATGCTGTTTCATGTTGCTCTATACTTCTCGGAACTACTTTAGTCTGCCCTATGATTCTCCTTGCTGCTCTATGCAGTTTATAATCTTTATATTCTGGCTAAGAAAACCGAACCTAACACAGCATATGCTCCGAAAAAATAATAAAACTCTTGGTAGGTTAAGTTAGGTTTTCTTGAGATTATCTTGAGATGATTTCGGGGCTTTTTAGTGTCCCCGCGGCCCGGTCCTCGACCAGGCCTCCACCCCCAGGAAGCAGCCCGTGACAGCTGATTAACACCCAGGTACCTATTTTACTGCTAGGTAAAAGGTTAGGTTAATAATAAAATTCTTGGTAATAGGACTACCACCGAACGAGAAGGGATATTTTTCCTTTATTTCTGGTATTATTATCGTTGTAAATATTGTAATATATGTAATAATAGGTACTGATATTTACTAATGCATCTAATACTGTATTGTTAGTTGGTCAATATATTATTTTCAGTAGAGTTGTTGACCAGTGTTCGTATTCTCAAAAGTATTGCTATGTAGAACAATATTATCAATTATAGTAGCATGATTCTTCCACATTAGCTCCGGATCTCCCGTGGAACAATAAGTGTGTTGCGCTCCTATGCCACTATAACCATGGTGAAGTATTGTCACTGTAACTCTGATGTAGTGTTGTCACTGTAACTCTGGTGAATAATTATCACTGAAACTCTAGTGTAGTGCTATCACCGTAACTCGGGTGTAATAGTATCACTGTAATTCTAGTGTAATGTTATCACTGTAGTGACTTCACTGTAACACAAGTGTAGTGTCATCACAATAACCCGAGCATTTCTTGACTTTATATCCAGGTTAATGTTTACATAACCACAGTATGGTGTCATAATCAGAATAACAATATAGTGTCACCACCACCATACTTTGCTTGGTAGTGGAATCATCGTATCCTTAATAGAGTGAAACTAGAAACCAATTATTGTGCCACCATAACTCCTGCATAGTGTCTTCATAATAATCTTAATAAAGTGTCAGTACAGAATTCCTTGTATAATATCACCATATTTGTAGTACCCCAGAATATCACAGTAATCCATTCAAATAGTGTATCCCACAGAATAGTGACACTATAGCCCTTACCATATAGTGTCACTATAGCTCCAAGTGGTTACTCACTCGATCTTCAAGTGGTATCAGAAGTGGGACCTGAGGCCTGGCTACACTCACTCGAGCAACAAGTGGCATCAGAAGTGGGACCTGAGGCCTGGCTACACTTACTGGAGCAACAAGTGGTATCAGAAGTGGGACCTGAGGCCTGGCAACACTTACTGGAGCAGCAAGTGGTATTAGAAGTGGGACCTGAGGCCTGGCTACACTCACTCGAGCAACAAGTGGTATCAGAAGTGGGACCTGAGGCCTGGCTACACTTACTGGAGCAACAAGTGGTATCAGAAGTGGGACCTGAGGCCTGGCTACACTTACTGGAGCAACAAGTGGTATCAGAAGTGGGACCTGAGGCCTGGCTACACTTACTCGAGCAACAAGTGGTATCAGAAGTGGGACCTGAGGCCTGGCTACACTCACTCGAGCAACAAGTGGTATCAGAAGTGGGACCTGAGGCCTGGCTACACTTACTCGAGCAACAAGTGGTATCAGAAGTGACTTGGGGGATGAGTATAGAGCACTTAATGATAAACTGATGTGAAAGTAAGTCTACGAATAACATTCGTTGGAACAGCAATATAAGTTATTCCCAAGTTTATCTGCACCCCCTTCCCTTACCACTGATATAATTCCCATATAATCGCCCCCCCCTCTTCGTTACCCCTCCCCCCCCACGCCTCCCAATCCTCCTAATCCGGATCATTGCCCCCTCCCCCCCCCCACTCTCGACAGCTGTGGAAGCAACACTACACTTAACAGCTATTCATAACTCGACCAGATGGTACAGCGAAAGTGATCCAACTGTTTAAGATACTTGGCTTCGTATCGTGGCCCAGTGTCTGGGTCCAATATTTTGGTCCAGTGTCTTGGCCCCAGTGTCTTGGTCCAGTGTCTTGGTCCAGTGTCTTGGCCCCAGTGTCTTGGCCCCAGTGTCTTGGCCCCAGTGTCTTGGCCCCAGTGTCTTGGCCCCAGTGTCTTGGCCCCAGTGTCTTGGTCCAGTGTCTTGGTCCAGTGTCTTGGCCCCAGTGTCTTGGCCCCAGTGTCTTGGTCCAGTGTCTTGGTCCAGTGTCTTGGCCCCAGTGTCTTGGCCCCAAAGTCTTGGCCCCAGTATCTTGGCCCAGTGTCTTGGTCCAGTGTCTTGGTCCCAGTGTCTTGGTCCAGTGTCTTGGTCCAGTGTCTTGGCCCAGTGTCTTGGTCTAGTGTCTTGGCCCAGTGCCTTGGCCCCAGTGTCTTGGCCCCAGTGTCTTGGCCCCAGTGTCTTGGCCCCAGTGTCTTGGCCCCAGTGTCTTGGCCCCAGTGTCTTGGCCCCAGTGTCTTGGCCCCAGTGTCTTGGTCCAGTGTCTTGGTCCAGTGTCTTGGCCCCAGTGTCTTGGCCCCAGTGTCTTGGCCCCAGTGTCTTGGTCCAGTGTCTTGGTCCAGTGTCTTGGCCCCAGTGTCTTGGCCCCAAAGTCTTGGCCCCAAAGTCTTGGCCCCAGTATCTTGGCCCAGTGTCTTGGTCCAGTGTCTTGGTCCCAGTGTCTTGGTCCAGTGTCTTGGCCCAGTGTCTTGGTCTAGTGTCTTGGCCCAGTGCCTTGGCCCCAGTGTCTTGGCCCCAGTGTCTTGGCCCCAGTGTCTTGGCCCCAGTGTCTTGGCCCCAGTGTCTTGGCCCCAGTGTCTTGGCCCCAGTGTCTTGGCCCCAGTGTCTTGGTCCAGTGTCTTGGTCCAGTGTCTTGGCCCCAGTGTCTTGGCCCCAGTGTCTTGGCCCCAGTGTCTTGGTCCAGTGTCTTGGTCCAGTGTCTTGGCCCCAGTGTCTTGGCCCCAAAGTCTTGGCCCCAGTATCTTGGCCCAGTGTCTTGGTCCAGTGTCTTGGTCCCAGTGTCTTGGTCCAGTGTCTTGGTCCAATGTCTTGGCCCAGTGTCTTGGTCTAGTGTCTTGGCCCAGTGCCTTGGCCCCAGTGTCTTGGCCCCAGTGTCTTGGCCCCAGTGTCTTGGCCCCAGTGTCTTGGCCCCAGTGTCTTGGCCCCAGTATCTTGGCCCAGTGTCTTGGTCCAGTGTCTTGGTCCCAGTGTCTTGGTCCAGTGTCTTGGTCCAGTGTCTTGGTCCAGTGTCTTGGTCCAGTGTCTTGGCCCCAGTGTCTTGGTCCATTGTCTTGGTCCAGTGTCTTGGCCCCAGTGTCTTGGTCCAGTGTCTTGGCCCAGTGTCTTGGTCCAGTGTCTTGGCCCCAGTGTCTTGGCCCCAGTGTCTTGGTCCAGTGTCTTGGCCCAGTGTCTTGGTCCAGTGTCTTGGCCCCAGTGTCTTGGCCCCAGTGTCTTGGTCCAGTGTCTTGGCCCAGTGTCTTGGCCCAATGTCTTGGCCCAGTGTCTTGGCCCCAGTGTCTTGGCCCCAGTGTCTTGGTCCAGTGTCTTGGCCCCAGTGTCTTGGTCCAGTGTCTTGGTCCAGTGTCTTGGCCCAGTGTCTTGGCTCCAGTGTCTTGGCCCCAGTGTCTTGGTCCCAATGTCTTGGTCCAGTGTCTTGGCCCAGTGTCTTGGCCCCAGTGTCTTGGTCCCAGTGTCTTGGTCCAGTGTCTTGGCCCAGTGTCTTGGTCCCAGTGTCTTGGTCCAGTGTCTTGGCCCAGTGTCTTGGTCCAGTGTCTTGGCCCAGTGTCTTGGTCCCAGTGTCTTGGTCCAGTGTCTTGGCCCAGTGTCTTGGTCCCAGTGTCTTGGTCCAGTGTCTTGGCCCCAGTGTCTTGGTCCAGTGTCTTGGTCCCAGTGTCTTGGTCTAGTGTCTTGGCCCCAGTGTCTTGGTCCCAGTGTCTTGGTCTAGTGTCTTGGCCCCAGTGTCTTGTTCTGTGTATGTCTTGGTCCAGTGTCTTGGCCCAGTGTCTTGGCCCAGTGTCTTGGTCCAGTGTCTTGGTCCCAGTGTCTTGGACCAGTGTCTTGGTCCCAGTGTCTTGGCCCAGTGTCTTGGCCCCAGTGTCTTGGCCCAGTGTCTTGGTCTAGTGTCTTGGCCCCAGTGTCTTGGTCTAGTGTCTTGGCCCCAGTGTCTTGTTCTGTGTATGTCTTATTGTCAACATTTAGATGTCGCTCACTAGCTACTACATATCAGTTGTGATGACTCAGTTAATAAACATCTGTTACTTCATATTACTTAAAGAATCTTAAATTATTAAATGTTCTTACTAACTCAGGCATTGTGTCTGCACATTTAAATTGACAGCTTTCGTGGGGTCGTTAACAACGGGGGACTTTATAAACACTGATGCATCCATCCATTGAACGTAAAAGAGTAAATGTATTATAAGTATCCACTAATACCTTTGAATGTCCATATGCAACAATTAATCATCTAACACAGTGTGCAGTTACAAACCCATTAAGAGTTCAGCTTAGATTCAACAGAGCAGAAGAAGTTGTTAAACACATGGGACAAAATCTTACTGAAGCGACCATACGAGTCATAAATACTCATACTCTGCCTAAGTAAAACAGAAACTAGTAACACTTAGTGGGACAGCTAGAGGCTTAAGGCCCACGCAGGAATATCCCTGACACAACTATAAATCCTATAGAACAAATTTATAGTACATAGATCTTCTGAATACATCAATATAAGGAGACACATCTTTCTTCAGTGTCCATCATATAGACCAAATGATGTATGTGATCATGTTCTTGCTTACAAACCTGACTTCAATGGTGCCCTAGTGCTAAACTGTTTTAAAATATTCATCTGATAATTATTTACTTATTGAGGGGAAACATTGAAGTCACTGATCACAGTCATAAGGTGACATTCTGATTATTACTTATTTACAAAATTAGATATTGAAATCACCCCTCAAAATCACTAAACTTGCATTTGGATAATAACTTACTAACACTGGCATTAAAAACCACCCATCACAGTCTTTAAAATGTAATTGTGTTAATTACTGACCAGTTGTGTTAAAGTCACCCCTCAAAATCACTAAATCATTTGGATAATTATCCTTACTAACACCGGCATTGAAATCACCTAAGGCAGTCTTTAAATGACATATCAGTTTCTCAGTAGTGTCTAACCGTCATCAGGTCTCTACAGGATCCTTCCACACCTTGATGGTCTGCATGGTGTAGCATCATGTCAGAGTCTAGCTTTTTTGCAACAAAAGTATTTGGAATAAATTTTAAGACGAGCTTCGCTATTCGCTCTGAGATATTACAGGCTGCTGGAATGCACCTGACATCGCAAACAGAATTAAATACCTCTAATTCCACATATTTGTTATTATTCCTCGTTACAAAAGTACGACACGATTGTTTATATATTTCACATTTGTGGGATAAATTATACGAGTTGAGATTGACAAGTTATGAATACTTCAGGACGAGTAAGGTTAAGTAAGGAAATTATTGAAATGGCAGGATGCATCAGTGTTCTTAAAGTCACTACCGTCAACGACCACGCGATAGGTATCAATTAAAGTGTGCAAACCTAGAGTTAGAAAGAACATTTAACTAATTCGAAGAATCTTAACGAATTTGAGGTAACAAGTTTGCTAACTGAAGCATCACAACTGGAATGCAGTAGCTAGTGTGCGACAACTAAATGCATAAACGGAAACGTTGCTACTGGAACGTGACGTTTAGGCATGACAAGTGAAGACGGTCATCTAAAGCAAGTGTTGTGTGGGGGACTCCTGGTTCGACCTTGACGACTAGCAGACGTTTGGACACCTCCATCGCCTGGGAGCCGCCGGATCATGTTCTGTTTCGCGATTTGGGATTTGATTCTGCCGTTTGGCATTCCTATTCCACGGTTCGGTTTGTTACGACGCCTGGCGCAAATATCGCCTTGGATTACGGGATGGTTGTTAGATTTTGAACGTTTTCTGGCTGGTTCTCCCGGCGGGGTGACGGTGTCCGGCGCCGGCTTGGCCGAGAGGTGCCGAGAGTTGGTGAGTCTTGGTGGGCTCCTGGTGTGCCGTCACCCGTAATGGGCTCCTGATGTGCCCTCAAACGTGGTGGGCGGCTGGCTTCTGCTCTGTCAGAGGGCACTGGATTGCGTTTTAGTTGGGGACCAAGTTTTTGTTTTTACTTCCCCGTGTTCTCTATGTGGGGCCGGTGCTTGTCAACCTGAGGGACTCCCAGGGGCTCCCCAATCATCTGCCGGTCTGTGAATTTATTTGCCACGAGGCTTATTAGTTTCTGGTGATACGCGTCATTCATTTCGCCATTAGGCTTTGGGATTAACCCTCTACGGGTACGCCGAGGCGCATCCGATTCCACGATCGTCGTCACTCTTTAATTCACAACAACGACTGTTGTGTGGTAAGATTCTCAAGGTGTGGGGAACTATGCCTTGTAAGTCATACCACCAACCACATCCCTTGGATCAATTAAAGAGTAGAAGATCTAATAATAATTCATTGTGCCGGGGGACAGGCAGCCGGAGGGTGTTTATACACGTTGGGCTTATATCGAGGTCCCTTCTCCCCCAGGATGCAACCCCACAAGAAGTTGACTCACTCCTAGAGACCTACTTGCTGCTAGGTAAATAAGTGATAGGAAATGTGCCCAACCACTTTTGTCCCGTCCGGTATTTGAACCCGAAATTCTCGATTGTGAGGCGAGAACAAACCCGCTTGTACCGCCGGGGACTGGTCCGAATAAATACATTGTCTAAATATTTAGATTAAAATAATTTTATGAGCTTATTTGCAAAATAAAAACACTTAAAATATGAAAAAATGATAAAAAGAAAAAGTAGCAAAATTATTTGTACAAACCTTGGATATATAAATTTTACATTAATAAATATTTAAATACGTCTTAGGACCAAATATTTACCTTATTAGTTAACCCTCAATTTTATAACATTATTATGTTTTCTGTTGTTGTTATTACAAAAGCATTGGCAACTACAGAAAATACCAAATTGGTGTTCATGATTAATTATTTATATTCTCGGTGTAATGGTACCACAAATGCCAGTTATTCATATTATCGACTTTTAATATATAATATTAAGATTTTTATTCTTCTTAAGAGTTTATATTCACAACTCATTAATTTTCATTTTATTAGCATAAATAGTTTATTTATTAATTTATTTAGTTATGTATTTATATACAAAAAGGTTCATTGGGTTGTGAAAGGATATAACATTGGTGTTTGAGCATTACATTCTTGTAAAGCAACGCATGGCATTTCGGGCAGAAAAGCTCTAGTTACTGTAAGTAACAATATGACATGTAATCTTTAAAACACTCAATTGGCGTGTATTCATTACACAACAATAACTATCTACGGGCTCACCATAGCCCGTGTTACTTGGAACTTTTTGTTCCAAGTAGCTAATCTTTAACAACATTACACACCAATTTGTCAGTCAGTTAAAGGTCAATTTAACCCTTAGTTAGTCCCTAAGGGTTAAATCTAAAACATTGTTTTCCAATTTGCGTTTCCTACTTTCTTTCATTGTAAGTCAAAAAGTTCGTATTTCCGAAATATTTAAACCGATTTACGACTTTTATAATCTCGTATATAAACACAGTGTAAATTAAATAGTCAGGAATACTTGGTTGGTTTTTATTTTATATTCTGTTAAACCATAAAACAAAATAAGCAGATAAAGTATAAACAAAAGTGTAGAGAGAGAAATGATGTTAAGGCCGCACGCGTCTCACAAGTGTCTCACAAAGTGTCTCACTTGAGCTGAGATCTGAAGCAGCAACTGAGAGGTGTAATAAGCTGGTAACTGGTAGTTGCTTTGTTGAGACCCGGGCCTGCCGGTCTCAACGGAGCAGCTGAGGGCTGTGGAGGTCTGCTACTGGTAGTAGCCCTTCTGTGACCCGCTGGGGTACTGGGCATCTCCCTCGAAGCTGACGGTGGGGTGGTAACCGAACTGGTCAACGAAGTATTCAACCTTCAGTTTGCGACTGTCAGGCAGCTGGACATAATAACTGCCCTGGGTGTTGTCTCCGTCCCTCTGCTCTTCGTGACCGTAGAAGTTGCCTGATGGCTGGTCGTTGACGTCCCACTGGAAGTTGTAGCTGGCGGGGGCGGAGCCGTAATGGCCTCCCTGTCCTCCAGATGTTGCGGGCACATACCGAGCCTGAATCACAGTGCCTTGGCCACTGAACACCTGTTCTCCAGATCCTAATCCACCCGACCCGAGGCCTCCAGACCCCAGTCCACCAGATACTGGTCCATTAGACGCTGGTCCACCAGTCCCCGGTCCGCCATAGTCTCCCTCTGGTCTTGCTGACACGGCCATGATCACCGCCGCTACCAGAATTATTGTCTGAGGAACAACAGCAGCGTCATGTGAGTTACAATATTAATCTCGAAGTAAAATAATCTTTATTTAACCAGATAAATTTTCCATGACAACATACTCAATTTTAGAGGAGGGAACTATTGATGTAAATTATATAATAGCATAATAACCAGAAAGATATGATTAATTGTATGGGAGTTCTCGTAAGTTTGAATTAAGAAAGAATCTATGATATAAAAGATGCATTTTGATTTTAACAAAATTCTAGAACATTCGTAATCAAAGTCTAGTTCTAATTCTCTGTATTGCACCAAAGCGGTGAACCATGATTCGCAAGTTATTGTAAAGAGTCAATAGCGATGGTATGCTTTAGAAAGTTCTTACACAGACAGGTATACCTTCATGACTGTGTCGCTGGTGGAGGTGTGAGCTCAACTGGTGTTCGTCCAGGAGCTTTGGCCATTTATATGACTGACAAACACGGAAACCTTAGGGCGGGGTCCTCCTCCGTGATGCATCCCCTTCTTGCGGAGAAATTTAAGAAAAACGTGACTTCCAGGTTCTTTAATATGAAAACATTTATTCGTTATCATTTTGTTGGTTATGTAATGGTGTTGAATATCGAGTCTCAGGTGGGAGTAAAGATGAGCAGATCTGTACCTCGTGATGGGGACGTCAGTGTTGTCTTGTGCTGTGACCTGCCGTCCCTGTGGACATGTCCGGAGTGATGTCATGTCCGGACGTTAGTGACGTCCGGCATCAGTTGTTTTAGTAATGTTAAAATATTCAAAACCACTGACACATAAGTGATGTTCACCTGCAGGTAGAAGGGAGTCACAGACTGACTAATTCATCCATCATTTAATTATACAGAGGGCAAGGATTACATGATCCGATCATCTTGAGAAATGGAGGAGAATAATAATAAAATATTGATCTTGCTTTTGGATGCCTTCAAAAGTCCGTTTTGGAATTTAGTTAATGAAGGGACGTAACCTGACTACTGCGTTACGTGTTAGTTAGTTTAGTTCATTTATTATGCACCCCATACCCATCTTGTGGGCGGTAGTGGAAAGGGTTACAGAGGCACATAATGGGCTCAGGGACTGAACCCCACAATTCATTTAGCTAAGCAAGTTACAATCTTGATGAGCTAGTTACAAAATTCAGTATAAGTCGTCACATCAACAATGGGTTCGAGATCAACTACAAGTACAGTTTCTAAATTAAGCACCTGACAGCGTGTATGTGTATACTCAACAGCTTGCGGGGGGGGGGGGGTTGAGATATGGCTCTCTGGTTTGGTCTTGCGTGTGTGTATTCTAATCTACATTTGAAACTGTGTATGGAGTCTACCTCTACCATATCACGGCCAAATGCATTCCATTTGTTGACTACTTTGACACTGAAAAAATTATTGATAATCTGTCTGTGGCTCATTTGGGTAACAAGTTTCCACCTGTGTCCCCTTGTTCGTGTTCCACTCGTGCTAATTATGATATCTTCCCTTACTCCTCTGTGGGTAAGAATATTTAGGTTTCGTGTGTCCTCACCTAGTTGTGCTTGCGAGGGGTTGAGCTTTGTCTCTTTGTGTGTGTGTGTGTGTGTGTGTGTGTTTACTAGTTGTGTTTTTGCGAGGGTTGAGCTTTGCTCTTTCGGCCCGCCTCTCAACTGTCAATCAACTGTTTACTAACTACTTTTTTTTTTCCTACACAACACACACCCCAGGAAGCAGCCCGTGACAGCTGACTAACTCCCAGGTACCTATTTACTGCTAGGTAACAGGGGCACTTTGAGTGAAAGAAACTTTGCCAATGTGTTTCTGCCTCGTGCGGGAATCGAACCCGCGCCACAGAATTACGAGTCCTGCGCGCTATCCACCAGGCTACGAGGCCCCTCCAATGGGCCCTCCAATGGGGCCAAAGTGTGTGTGTGTGTGTGTGTGTGTGTGTGTGTGTGTACTCACCTAGTTGTGCTTGTGGGGTTTGAGCTTTGGCTCTTTGTGTGTGTCTGTGTGTGTGTGTACTCACCTAGTTGTGCTTGCGGGGGTTGAGCTTTGGCTCTTTGGTCCCGCCTCTCAGCGGCCTAAATCCTTATCGTTGGCACAACTATTCTTGTAATAGTAATTTAAACATTTCAAACTCCTCCTTCCTCCATCCCTCCTTCTTTCCCTCCCTCCCTCCCTTGCCTCCCTACCCTACACAATTAAGGCAACGGCCAATACACACACATGAAGGGCTACATATATCCTGCATATTCAAGGGTCATGAAGCAAAAATTGAAATACAGTAGTTTACACGAACTACAGTACACAAAGAAATCACATTAACGTGACGTATTAATGAGAAAATCCGTAGGAACCGTGATGAGGATTCGAACCTACGCTCTGGGTACTCCCAAACACACGCCATAGATAACTAAGCCACGATATGGTAAAAGGATTGTGTAAAACCCTGATCCGGCTTCCGTGGAAGCCTCGAAACCCTCGTGGATTCAGAAGAATTTCAGGTTTCGATGCCTTTTACCATGGCCTAGATATATAAGGCGTGTGCTTGGGATTACCCAGAGCATAGGTTTGAATCCTCATTTGAGGATTCCCAGAAGCATAGTCAGAGCATAGTCTCTCACCGTCTATAGTCATAATGGCTGAGCGATTTCTCCTCATAATTACCGTACCTAAGTTAATAAAATGAAGAACTCCTGGACAAAATAAAAGGCGATTGGTAAATTGGTGTACAAAATGAAGGACGATGGAGTAAATCCTGGTCTATTTAGTTTATTAAAATAAAGGAATACATTAATCTGCAAACATATGGGATACATTAATATGCAAAAATATGGGATACAACGAAATGAAAAAATACAACAGGATACACAATGAAGATTTTGGAATCTTAGGTTACAATCAACACAATTCAGAACACCTGCATTGACTATATTCTTAGTTCTATCATGCGCCAAAACCCACTAAATTGGTATTAAAATTCACGTGAAACAGAATCATCTTATCATTATATATTCTGGTAGATGAAAGCCCGAAGTACCGACAACAGTCTAATGAATCACCGGCACGAGAGCAAACTTTTATTAATTTATGACAAATCGACTGTAAGGGATTTTTCTAGTTTGCTAGACATCACTAGCATTCTAGACATGGGTTTTGGAGTGTGACCCATGGTAGCCATGGAATTTGGATTGTGGAGCTGGCAGATTAGTTGCTATTTTGTGGTGTCTTTGTGGCATTGTGTCATGTTCTGTGTTTGTAATGTTTTGGGCAGTAATTCAATTACTTCTCAATTTAATTCATTTACAATTTAATTCAGTAATTCAAATTAATTAATTGGTCCAGGGCTAGCATGGACCACACTAAGCAGAAGGAAGATTATTAATTATTAATTAATTTTATTATTATAATAACAATTATACTAATAATTGTGTTAGTATAGAAGTTACTTAGAAGAGCAATAATTATTAATTAATTTTATTATTATAACAATAATTGTGTTAATTTATAATTATTACTCTTCCATCAGCTGGGTCATGAAGGAAGCCGGCCTCGGGTGAAAATACCCAAGTACCCAAGCACACAGCACCCAAGCCAACCCATGGCTTGGGTGTTGTGACGCTCTGTCTGGAATCCGTAGGCGCGGGACTCAGACGTCAACCTCCTGGGAGTTCGTGCGGCCCAAGCTCTGCTTCAGGAGGCTGGGGTCGTTCTTGCCCTTGCTGGGGTGGTTCTTCTCCGGCCCCGACCGCAGCGGTCTCCGGGTTTAGAGTCCTGGTGCCTTCTTTTACTAACTTCAAGGTAATCTCCGGAATTGGAGCCCCCTAGAGCAGTTCGTTGTTGCTTTCAACATCGTGCTCACAGTTCCTGCGACGGCGCTGGAACCAATCCTATTGGCGTTTGTCTTTCCATTTGAGACTTTCGGCGCTGTGGAGACCTGTTGCTTGGGTAACAGCTTCTCCTCCATATCGACCTACTCAGGCTTTGCGCCTTGGAGAGGCCACTCCAGACCGACAACCAGAGCGCAACTCCATAGTCTCCTGAGACTGATGGATGCCTACTACTACCTTACCTTACCTTTCTCGCCTTTTCACATCGTTAACGTCCCACTCGCAACTCACATTATTTGTCCCACAAAACTGTTATATATAAACTAATGCATCTGACTCTTGTAATGGAGCACACAGCTTATCACAGACTTTCAAAGTGGATTATATCGCAGTAGATCTGTGAGAACCCTGGGTACTGGACATGAACTCTGCAAAATTAGGTGTCAGATCACCTAATCAGGGAAATCCCACAACCAATAATTTTTTGCAATCGAAGTGATAATAAAAGATGGTATCGGAGGTATTGTTTTCCATATAGTATAGAAAAAGCATTGTATCCCGTTGAACGTTTACACGACGAAACTACGACGATACAACAACTTTCGAACATGTTTTAACACCTGACAATTGAAACAACCAATATAGCAAGTTGTAACAACGTTCTAATACGTCATAAAAACGTTATAGCAAGATGTAACAACTTTATTACGACAACGGAATCATAGGAACCGTTTCGGTGTGTGTTTGCCCATATGGGCAAACACACACTAACACTAACAGCCTGGTTGATCAGTCCAGCAACCAGGAGGCCTGGTCGACGACCGGGCCGCGGGGACGCTAAGCCCCGGAAGCACCTCAAGGTAACCTCAAGGTATGGGCACGAACAATGTTAGAGAGGATATTCATGCTTGTCTTAAAATGCATTCCAAATATTTTAACCTCAAGAAACACTAGTATCTGAGGTGCTGACCACACACCATGCTGACCAAGGTGTGGAGGGATGCTGTATAGATGTGATGAAGTTCAAAGATAGTGAGAAACTGGTATACACTTAAAGACTGGGATGGGTGACTTCAACGTCAGAATAAGGTAGTAATTATCCGAATGCTGTTTTATTGACTGTGGTGAGTTATTTATTTGTTAGAACTGGTAAGTAATTATCCAAATGTGAGTTTTAAGACCTTGATGGGAGATTTCAGTAATAAAGTTAGATAATAATTATCAGAATGACATCTTAAAAAAAAGACTTTAATTGGTGATTTCAATTCTAGAATAAGTAATTATCCAAATGCCAGTTTAGTGATTGGGAAGGATGTTTTCAGCACCAGAACCTGTAAATAGGTAATTATCAGAACGTCACTTTAAGATTGTAATGAGTAGCTACCGTGCTTCAATTGGTTAGTAAATAATTTTCTGATGAATATGATGAAACAGTATTGCCATAAAGCACCTTTGAAGTCAGTTCATATATAAGACATGATGACGTAAAAAAAATGTGTTCTTTTTGATGGATATTGGAGAAAAGTTTGTCTTGTAAAATTTATGTAATCCCTATATTAAGAATTCACAATATATGAATCTATGTATTATGAATTCGTTTTGAAGGATCGGGAGCTGCATATGATATTGAAAGGCCTCAGCGGGTACTTATAACACATTTATCCTTTTATGTTCAGTAGAAGGACGTATTAGTGTTCATAAAGTCACCATTGTCACCGACTTCGTAAAAGCTGTTAAATCATGTTCATTTACATGAACACAAAATCTGAATTGGAAAGAACATTTTATTAATTTCAAATACATCTTTCCTACTGTGCAGTAAGAGAAGTTTGACAATTAAGCTTGGCAACTGAAACATTGAAACTAGAGCTTAACAGCTTGACATTGCAAATGAACCAAAACAAATGAAGCAGGGCCAACGTGTTGTCCTTCAAAAGGACGTCGCATTTCGATCGTATGTGTTACCTAAGGCCAAAAATTGTCGTGCTAGTAAATGGAAACGGTTCGCGAATGTGACGCACTGTCCCGTTTTCTGTTTTGGGTCCTCTGGTAGGTTAGGAGAGACCACTTTAAATTGACCGTTTTCTTGCTGTTGGGAAATCTTAGGAGGACGGGCTGGCAGGACACCTGAGGCATGGCACCTAATGTGTGTAGTCAGGTGCTCAGGGAGTGGAAAACTATACTGTGTAAGCCTCACCATGCATCACACACTATAGATCAGTTAAAGGGAAGAAATAGGTTGAGCCTATGCATATGTTTACAAATATTATGCATAAAATATTTGTAAGAGTCCTTTGTAAAATTATAAATTGATTTTAAAATCTGGAAAAACAATTATTAAAAAGATTATTGTTATCATACCTTGTGTACATTAATTTCATACCTTAAAGTTTTATATCAATGAGGGGATGTGATACTAGCATTAATAGTCATCCCTTAAATAAATGTCAGTGTTACGTTTTCTTTAGATGCAACGACAAGAAAAGAACATGTTTGTATTGGTAACTACAGAAAATACTAAAGTGGTCACTTAAATCATTCTTCTTCATAATCGAATGTTTTCGTGTGTAATAATACCACAGGTACCAAGTGTTAAAAATACCAACTTTGTCTATATATTAATAAGAATTTAGTGGATAATATTAAGGATGAGCGACGGAGTGTGACTCGCCCCTCTGATAGACTCAGGATCACATTGACTGTATCATGAGGAGTTTATATCTGCGTGTGTCTGGCATGATCAGGGGCGCAGATTCAATCCAATTATTCGCCCGAAATATTCATAGATTCTTCATGTTATTATGATTTTCATTGTAGGATGCTCTTTTGTTCCTTTTTAAGAGTTCGTTGGCAGCATTCATATCTTTTTTAATTGCATTATTGCAATGTTTATTCTAGTAAGTAAAAAAGTTGGCACAAAAAGACAGAATTTTCTATTAAAGTCGCTGCGTTGCGGTTAATTCTAAAACATTGTCTTGTTCCTCTATTTCTTCCCTCCTTCGTATGAACACAATAAAGCAGTTTTGCAACTTTTTTTTTAACAATTTACAACTTTTAAAACCTCAGATATAAACACAGTATATAAATATATAGAAATACTTGAGTTTTTAATTTTATTTAAAAATGTTTGTAAAACCTTCAAGAAAAAAACAGATAAATGAAAAACAAAAATGAAAATAGACATGATGACGAGGAGGCAGCTAGTGCGTCTCGAGAGAGATGTGATAAGCAGGCAACTGGTGATATTCGTGTTGAGACCCGGACCTGCTGGTCTTAAGTGAGCAGCTGAGGCCTGTTGAGGTCTGCTACTGGTAGTAGCCCTTCTGTGACCCGCTGGGGTACTGGGCATCGCCCTCGAAGGTGACGGTGGGGTGGTAACCGAACTGGTCAACGAAGTATTCAACCTTCAGTTGACGACTGTCAGGCAGCTGGACATAGTAACTGCCCTGGGTGTTGTCTCCGTCCCTCTGCTCTCCGTGACCGTAGAAGTTGCCTGATGGCTGGTCGTTGACGTCCCACTGGAAGTTGTACTTTGCGGGGGCGGCGCCGTACTGGCCTCCCTGTCCTCCAGATGTTGCGGGCACATACCGAGCTTGAATCCCTGGTCCCCCAACTCCTAGGCCACTGACCACCTGTCCTCCAGATCCTGGTCCGCCATAGCCGCCCTCTGGTCTTGCCGTCACGGCCATGATCACTGCCACAACCAGAATTATTGTCTGAGGAACAACAGCAGTTATGTGAGTTGCAATGTTAATTTGGTCGTGAAAGAATCGTTATATATCCAGTTAATTTTTTTTATAACGATATTGGTTTTAGCACAGGGAGCAAATAATGTAAATAAGATTATAACATAATATCCAAAAAGTCAGATTATTAATTATATGTTCTCATAAGTTTGTGTTTAGGAAAAATCAGTGATATGAGAGACGAATTTTGATTATAACAAAATTCTATGACGTTCATAATTTAAGTCTAGTTCTAGCTCCCTTGTTTGCATCAGAGAGGAGAGACTACGATTCATGTTATTCCCAAGAGTCGCCGGCGATGGCGTGAGAGTTGTTACACAGGCAAATATACCTTCATGGCTGTGCTGCTTGTGGAGGTGTGAGCTCAACTGGTGTCCGTCCAGGAGCTCCGGGCTTTATATGACTGACCAACACGGAGACCTGAGGGCGGGGTCCTCCTCCGTGATGCATTCCCTACTTTCCGTGAAATTTAAGCAAAATATGACAAACAGGTCATGTAAAAAAAAAAACACATTCATTCTTATTTTGCTGGTTATGTAATGGTGTTGAATGAAGAGCCTTAGGTGGGAGAAGAGATGAGCAGATCTGCATCTCGTGATGGGTACCTCAGTGTTGTCTTGTACTGTGACCCGCCGTCGTCTGAACGTGTCCGGAGTGGGGTCATGTGTGGTGTAGGGGTAATCATCAGTTTTAATAATTTTAACGTGTTCGAAACCACTGAAGGAGAATAGTGTCGCCAGCTCACCTGAAGGTAGAAAAGACCCACTGATTGACAGACTCATCCATGAATCATTCTTACAGACGGCAAGGGTCAAATGCCCCTAGCATCTAGAGGAAGAGAAGAAAGAAATGAGCATTTAATATCGACTCTTAATGCGGGGCGTGGCCTGCCTACTGTCTTTGTTTGTGTGTGTGTATGTTTACTATTTATGCATGCAGAATTGGGGTATTTGCTCTTGGACCCCGCATTTCTAACTTATCTATTTTATCCTCTATTATGTCTACTACATATATTTCTCTCTACACACCCACATACACATCCCCAGGAAGCAGCGCGTAACAGCTGTCTAACTCCCAGGGACCTATTTACTGATAGGTAAACAGGGCATGAGGCGAAAGAAATTCTGCCCATTTGTTTCTACCTCAGCCGGAAATCGAACCCGGACCCTTAGCACTGCATAACTTCTCTGTCGCAACTTATATAATTTGTCCCACTGAACTGTAATATGCAAACTAATTTGTCTGATTTAGTTTATAGAGGATATAGTCTGTCTTGGGGTTTTTAAAGACGATTACTTGCTGCAGTGCATTTATTAAACGGGATGAACTCCTGAAACCTGAACATAAATTCAGCAACATTTAGTTGCTGAATTAGGAATTAGGTTGCGAGGTTTAGGAAGGAAAGTGTGCTGAGCAGGAGAAAAATCACAACTGATAATGATATATATATATATATATATATATATATATATATATATATATATATATATATATATATATATATATATATATATATATATATATATATATATATATATATATATATATATATATATATATATATATATATATATATATATATATGAAAATGAAAACTCACACCCCAGAAGTGACTCGAACCCATACTCCCAGGAGCAACGCAACTGGTAACTACAGGGCGCCTTAATCCACTTGACCATCACGGCCGTCAAAAGGAAGTGATAGCCGAGGCTATTTGAGCCACTTCCCCGACGGCAACTCGGATGGTAATCTTGGGCATAGCATTTCACCAAATCACCTCATTCTTTGGGGCACACGTGAGGAACACAAATGCGAACAAGCCTGAATGGTCCCCAGGACTATATGCGAATGAAAACTCACACCCCAGAAGTGACTCGAACCCATACTCCCAGGAGCAACGCAACTGGTAACTACAGGGCGCCTTAATCCACTTGACCATCACGTAGTGCAACCTCTGAAGAGACAACTAACACAACACATATACCCCCTATTAGACTATTTTACAGGAACTTCTTTTCCACAGCTCATAAAACGGAGGAAAGGGTCCTGAAAGATATTGTTAATAGAAACGTTATCCCTACAGACAAAAATCAGAGGATACAACTGACGATTTACTATAAAACCAGAAAAACGGCCAGCCTACTCATGAGAAACTCTCCAGACACAAAACAGAACGCTTTAAAAGAGACTAACGTCGTCTATGCCTTCAAATGCCCTCTTGGGGACTGTAAGCTCCAAAAAAAACAGTATATAGGCAAGACAACAACATCTCTTTCTAGGCGTTTAACGATGCATAAGCAACAGGGCTCCATTAAGGAACATATAATCTCTTCCCACAACCAAACCAACGCCAGAGAAATCCTAGTAAACAACACAGAAATCATCGATAGATACAGCGATAGCAGGCGGCTTGACGTTTGCGAGGCACTACACATCAAGAAGTCAACACCAGCAATCAACAGCCAATTAATGCACAACTATATTCTACCCACCTCAAGACTCCGCTCCAATATAGAAGCATCAAGAAATATGGACCAATAGGCTTTCTACAAACACTTCTATTCAATACCCATTGTTTCGTGTTCTGTCTTGTGTTGATGAAATTAATACCCTATTAATGCCACCTCTTGTTCTGTCTTGTGTTGATGAAATTAATACCCTATTAATGCCACCTCACCCCATCCACCTCACTAAAATGTAGATATAAAATCGGAGATGCGTAAGTTCTATTCAGTTGTGTATTTGTAAACTAAAGTCTTTGAAAATGTAATAAGTTTTACGAAACGCGCTCGTGTCGCGTCAGACTAGAAATAAATATGAATTTTGGAGAATTGATTTTTGATTTACCTCCAACAGTGAAAAGAAATGTACGAAAGATTGAGAAAATTCGTGTTAGAATTATTAATCTTACTTTTTCGGTCATATTTAATAATATATATATATATATATATATATATATATATATATATATATATATATATATATATATAATGTGTGTATATCACGAAAATAAACACGTGATTAAGAATGTGACAATGTCAGACCACGGAGGAAAATGAAACAGGAATTTCCTTAAGTACTTTCGTATATTAAATACATCTTCAGAAGGAATCCTTCTGAAGATGTATTTAATATACGAAAGTACTTAAGGAAATTCCTGTTTCATTTTCCTCCGTGGTCTGACATTGTCATATATATATAATATGTATATTTACGAGCTCTTGGTAGATGGGACTCGACAGCCTGGGAAGGCAGCTCATCTAGATGAGCCATACTCACTTTTAGGACGAGCTTCAGGAGTCAACCTCGAGGAAAAATCCGGAACTGGAGCCCCTAAGGCAGTTCGTTGTTGACTTCAACCTCGTTCTGACAGCTCCTGTGACGGCGCTGGAAGCAAACATATTGGCGTTTGCCTTTTCCTTGGACAACGATGGACAACTTTCCCTTTCAACGATGTAGAGTGGGGAGAGGGGGGGGGGGACCGGCTGCATGGGTAACAGCTTCTCCTCTATTTTGACCTACTCAGGCTTTGTGCTATAGAGAGGGCACTCCAGCCTTGGCAACTAGAGCGCAACTCCATAGTCTCCCAAGACTGCAGGATGCTAACTACTACTAGCGATGTAATAGTAACCGATATATAATATTGGAGGTATTTCATTCCTTATAGCAAATCAGAAATACTGATGAAGAACGAAGTATGTCAGAGAGGATAAGTGAAGCCTGTCTTAATATGCATTCAAAATATTTTAGTTGCAAAAAATAATAGTATTTGATCTGATGCTTCACCATGCAGACCAAGGTGTGGAGCGATGCTGTAAAGACCTCATGAAGGCTAGACGCAATTTATAAATAGATCTACCATTTAATGATTGCAAAGTGTGATTTCAATGCTAGAATTAACAAGTAATTATCCGAAGGACACTTTATTGACTATGTAATCACCTGGTTGTGCTTGCGAGGGTTGAGCTTTCGCTCTTTGGTCCCGCCTCTCAACTGTCAATCAACTGATGTACAGATTCCTGAGCCTACTGGGCTCTATCATATCTACATTTGAAACTGTGTATGGAGTCAGCCTCCACTACATCACTACCTAATGCATTACATTTGTTACCTACCCTGACAATGAAAAAATTCTTTCTAATGTCTCTGTGGCTTATTTGGGTACTCAGTTTTTACCTGTGTCCCCTTGTTCGTGTTCCACCCATGCTAAATAGTTTGGCTTTGTCCACCCAGTCAATTCCTCGGAAAATTTTGTAGGTAGCGATCATGTTTTCCCTTACTCTTCTATCTTCCAGGGACGTGAGGTTTGGCTCCCGTAGCCATTCCTCGTAACTCATACCTCTCAGTTATGGGATTAGTCTGGTGGAATACTTCTGAAATTTCTCTGAATTTGTCTTGTGTTTAACTAGGTATATACTCCAACCACGAGCTGCGTACCCCATACTTCAGTGCTAGAGCTGTAAGTAATTATCACAACGTGATTTTCTAGGCCTTGATGGGGGATTTCAATGAGGAAATTACTAATTATCAGAATATTTTAATGAATGTGATTAGTAATGTCAATGCCAGAGTTCGTAAAGAAGTAATTATCAGTATGTCACAAAGACTCTGACTGGTGACTTCAATGCTTCAGTTAGTAAGTAATTATCCAATGAATAAGTTAAGCCAGTACAGCTATAGAGCATCATTCATGAGAGTTTATCTACATGATCAAAGTCTTGTTTATAACTTGGAACGTCTGATGAAAATTGAAGAACAACCCGTCGTCAGACCAAGTCCATTCCATCCAGAGGTCGACCCAAAAGACATGTTCAAAAATTTGTAAATGTTGTTCATTCATAACAGGAATTTTCTCAAATATAAATTAATATTATATTAGCAAAGTGTGCATATTTAGGCCTTGGTTATGTTATAAGTTTAGGTTCTTTTGGCGATTATTTGTATTTGTAGTACGTGGGTGAAGCAAATACAGCGTTGGGATTCGAACAAAATTCGTCAGTGAAGCACTTGTTCCGGAAGTGTTCGAACATCAAAAGTTGCGAGTCGCGTGTAAACCGTTTTTCATTCACAAACAGGGGGTTTGTCGGGTGCATGGAATCACTTTTGGGTCTTTGTTTGGAGGACGATCTGCTACAGCTTCACATCTTGGCATTGCAAATGAATTAAAACAACCTAAGCAGGACACCAAATGTGTGACAAGGTGATCAGAGTGTGGAAAACAATACTGTGTAAGCCACACCAAGAACCTCATTCTTTAGATAAATTAATTGGGAAGTGTGTTTGACTCTATGCACAATTCTGAAAATATTATGTGTAAAACAATTCTAAGAGATTATTTTGTAAAATTAAAAATAGAAAAAAACCTGGTAACAATAATTAGCAAAATTATTTTATCATACCTTGAATATTTTTTATTTCATTACTTTAATTTGCATACCAATGTGTCGATATGCCACTTGGATTAACAGTAATCTCGTAAGTTTGTGCCGGTATTACGTTTTCTTTTGTTCTAACGAAAAAGTAAAATGAATGTGTTTGTAACTACAGAAAATACTAAATTGGTCCCAAATCCTTCTTCACGATCAAAAATTCTTAGGTGTAATGGTATCACAGGTGCCAAGTGTTAAAATTATCGACTTCTTATGCACAATAATCAAAATTTATTAAGTAAATATTGAGGTTATTCAACAGACTCCGATCCGCGCCACTGATCGTCTCAGAAACACACAGCATCGACTTGTTGGGACTAAAATACTGCGTGTGTCTGGCATGATTAGGAACGCAGGTTCGATTCCATGAAACACCCTCAAAGTTATTCATGGAATCCACACATTATTTTGATGTTCATTGTGCAAGGTTTTTAATAGTTTTTAAGAGATTATAGGTAGTTCTTAGTTCCTTTTTAAATCCATTATTGTAATGCTTATTCCAGCGATAAGATGGCACAAACAAATAAAATATTCAATTTGCTTAAGTCTCAGAATTAGGATTAAATCGAAAATATTTTCTTTCCTCCTCCATTTTCTTCTTCTGCTCTTCGTATGTCCAAAAATAAACATGTGTTCGTATTCTTATGATGATTTCTAACTTTTTAAAACTTCAAATATTCATTTAATGTAAATAAATAAGCTGAAATCCTGGAGTATTTTTGCGTTATTTTGTATTATTTAAAAACCTTAAGAACAAAGTAACAGATAAATGAAAAACAAAAGCGTAGGGAGACATAATGTCGAGGCAGCAGGCGTCTCGGGGTCTCGAGAAGTGTCTCACTTGAGCTGAGATCTGAAGCAGCAACTGGGAGGTGTGATAAGCTGGTCACTGATGATAGCCGTGTTGAGACCCGGGCCTGCCGGTCTTAACAGTGCAGCTGAGGGTCTGTGGAGGTCTGCTACTGGTAGTAGCCCTTCTGTGACCCGGTACCTTGACCGGAACCGCTGGGGTACTGGGCATCGCCCTCGAAGGTGACGGTGGGGTGGTAACCGAACTGATCAACGAAGTATTCAACCTTCAGTTGACGACTGTCAGGCAGCTGGACATAATAACTGCCCTGGGTGTTGTCTCCGTCCCTCTGCTCTCCGTGACCGTAGAAGTTGCCTGATGGCTGGTCGTTGACGTCCCATTGGAAGTTGTACTTGGCGGGGGCAGAGCCGTACTGGCCTCTAGGTATTGCGGGCACATACCGAGCCTGAATCCCTGGTCCCCCAACTCCTAGGCCGCTGGACCCTTGTCCCCCAGATCCCAATCCGCCCGACCCGAGGCCGCCAGACGTTGGACTGCCAGTTCCCGGTTCGCCATATCCGTCCTCTGGTGTTGCCGTCACGGCCATGATCACCGTCACTACCAGAATTATTGTCTGAAGAACAACAACAGTCATGTGAGTTGCAATGTTAATTTTGTGATAAAATATTTATATAACTAGATCATTTTTCCCATAACGACATACGTTTAGTGCAGGGAACAAATTATTTAAATATTGGTATAGCATAATAATTAGAAATAAAGATTGGCATTATAAGCGAGTTCACAGAAGTTTGAGTTAAAAAATCATCAGTGCGCTGAGAGATGCATATTCATTTTAACAAAATTATATAACGTTCATAAAAAAAATTGTTCTAACTCTCTGGTTTGCACTAGAGCGGTAGGACTACAATTCACGCCATTGTCACGAGTCACTGGCGATGGCGTGATTCAACAATTGTTACACAGACAAGTATACCTTCATGGCTGTGTCGCTTGTGGAGGTGTGAGCTGTACTGGTGACCGTCCAGGGGCTCCAGGTTTTATATGACTGACCAACACGGAGACCTGAGAGCGGGGTCCTTCTTCGTGATGCATCCCCTTCTTTCCGCGAAATTATACAAAATATTGCAACCTATTTGTTTTATATAAAGAAATGTATTCATTCTTATTTTATTGGTTACGCAACTAAGTTGAGTACTCACCTAGCTGTGCTTACGGGGGTTGAGCTTTGGCTATTTGGTCCTGCCTCTCAACCGTCAGTTTACTGTTGAGTGTGGAGCCTGGGGTGGTAGCAGAGATGACCATATCTGCATGTGGTGGTGATATCTTATGCTGTGACCCGCTGTTCTCTGGACGTGTCCGGAGTGAGGTCCTGTGTGACGATAAGTAAATCATCAATTGTTTTAGTAATTTTAACATATGCAAAACTAATAAAGGAGAAAAGTGTTGCCAGTTCACCTGAAGGTAGCTGACGTTTAGTATTTTCTTTTGATACTTACTTACTCACTGTTACGACCCTGGGTTCTCCAGTGGAAACCAGAGGTCAAAATTGAGCTATTAAACTTCCTGGTAGCACAGTTGGGCATCTAGAATGTCAATTGTTTGTATCTTCCCTGCCAGACGTAAGACTATTATTGTTTCTCAAAGAGCATTTAAAGACTGAGCTGGGGGTTGATTATTAAATAATAACATAGGCACCAACTTTGCTTACTAATACTTTCTAATCATTCATAAAGTAACAATACGTTGCATAGGGGAAGATCTTTAATGTGCTTAGCTGCACGATCAATTAGGCTCCTCCCGGCACCACAACATGAGGGAGGCAGCTGGTGGCTAGCTCGGTCTTCTCTGGCTGGTGTGGTGCGGTATAGACCTACTCTGTGGCTGCTCCCCTACTCTCCTTCCTTCTCCTCTTACTTATTTCCCTTACCTGAAGTTCCTGTACCTTAAGCTAAGTACAGGGCATTAGTGAGTGTGCCTACTCTGGTAGTAACGATTGGTGAGACCTGGGGATAGTATTTTGCCAGTGTTTGGGTACCCCTAAGTGTTGTGTTTTGTATTAGGGTCCCACGTGGTTTCACTACCCTAAGCTGCATCCAGCTTCAGTGCTTATCCAGTAGTACTTTACCCTAGCTTGTTATTAGTGTAAACCTTGTATCCTGCCTACGTGGACCAAGGCTTTTAACGTAAGATAGTGTGGTAAAGTTATTATTATTATTGTTATTGGTGTGAGTGTATATGGGGGGTTGTTAACGGGTTAATAAATAAGTACATGAATTACAGAGTATCTCTTCTTCCAAGGTGGGAGCGCAGTGATCAACCCTTAGACTAACATATTTGGTCTTGCAGCAAGTTATTACTGCTGTGGATAGTTTATTTTGGGGGCCGGGCCTTTTAGCTCTCCCATATTTGATACTCCTGTCTTCTAACTACCTATACCCCTTAATAGTACCAGTACCCCATAGAAGCCCCACTCATATCATTTATAACAAGTGGTTGGCCAGTCCGGGAGGAACATTATAAGTGTAAAAAATTAGATTCTTGAGTGCCAAAATTAAATTTTTTATTTCCGCAGAACGGTTGTGTGCTAGCCTAGGGTCCAGCTCATCTAGCAAAGGACATTCTTGCACTGACTGGACACCTAGCTGGATCCCTTCACGATTAAGGTTAGTGTGGCCTTGTGTTAGGGGCCGTGCAAATTTTTTTTTTCCAATTTTTATTTTTTAATTTTTTCTTTGGCTGGGAGCTAAAATTATTAGTGATGTCTTCTGAAATGCAGAACCTGGCAAGGGAGCCTTCAGTGGTAGAGATAAAGAAACTTAAAAAGTCTAATTTAGTATTGTTAGGCCAGGAATTTGGCCTAGAATTAAATGTTGCAGATAAAAAGTGGACTTTGGTGAATGAAATATTACAACATTGTATTGATGAACAACTATTGGCAAGTGATACACCTTTATGCCAGCCTAGCCAAGCAGAAAGTGCAACTCATAGGGAAAGTGAATTAGCTTTAGAGTTAGCAAAAATAAAATTAGAGGAGCAAAGACTCAAAACCGAGGAGGCTAAAATTAGAGCGAATGCCACTGGAATTCCACCTGCCGGGGATTCAAACCCCAGGCATTATGAGAAAAAGCATAATTTGCCTGAATTTTCCGAGTCTGACCCTGAAAGGTTTTTCAACCATTTTCAGAGAGTGGCCACGTCCATGAACTGGCCAAAGGAAGAGTGGGTGAAAATCCTACAGGGAAGACTTAGGGGTAAAGCACAAGATATTTTTATAAACATGCCTGACGACGAGTGTTTCGAATATGATAAAGTCAGGGAATGTATTTTGCGGGCATATGAAATTACTCCTGAAGCTCACCGCCAAGTTTATCGTAACCTTAGGCCTACTCACAACCAACCGCTCACTGAATTTGTGAATGATCAAATTCGATTATTTGATAGATGGATTCGCTCGGCGAAAGCCGAAACATACGAGGCTCTCAGGAACTTAATTTTAATGGAGCATTTTATAGATGTTATGCCAGAGAACGTATCACAATACATTAAAGGAAGGATAGAGTTAAATTCTAAAATAGGGGATTTGGCCAAGTTGGCAGAAAACTACCAATTGGCGGGCAAAAGGCCCAATAAAAATAATTATACCCCACAGAGTAGCAAACCTTATACCCACAGCCAGTCCAGACCAGCTCATTCTAACCCTTTACCTAATGCACCTTCTGTTTCAGACATAACTAACCCTGTTAAAGTGTCTAGCCCAACGGCACCTAAAGGTGAACCGAAGGGTAATTCTGTTAGTAATGTCTCTTCTCCCCGACGTTTTTGTGGTCACTGTAATCGTTCAAATCACAATATTAGCCGTTGTTGGCAACTGTACCCAGAAAAAAGACCCAATGCTCTAGTTGTGACACAGGGCTTGAGGCCTTCGGAAGGGTTAGGGAGTAAGACCTCCAACCCACAGTGGTTGGACTTGCTTACCCCATTCTTATCGAAAGGGAGACTACTTTTGTCTGAGGGTTCTTCCTGGAAGGACGTGGTGATCTTCCGAGACACCGGTGCCATCCAGACTTTAATTTTAGAGAGTGCATTGCAAGGTGCCAACACTCTCGACACTGGAGAGGTGGTACTGGTCGAGGGTGTCACTAGTGATACTCGGGCAGTACCCCTCCATAAGGTTACCCTGGAATCTGATTTCCACAAGGGTGTTTGTACAGTCGGAGTCACTTCATACCTACCTTTCCCTAATGTTGATGTAATAGTTGGTAATGATTTAGCAGGGGATAAGGTAGGGGACTCCAGACTGCCTATTATGTTGCCTACCCCTAAGGTTTGCCTGGATCCACCCGCCGCAGAGGATAATGTTGTGTACCCTGCGTGCGCGGTGACCAGGTCTATGGGACTTAAATGTAAGGGCAGCCCTGTGCTTGCCAAGGTGGTAAATCCCGAGGTCACGAGGAGCTTTCCGAGTGGTGAAAACCAAGTGGACCTCGCGGACACATTCATGGCCCGACTCGATGACGTGGCCGAGGACATTGTGGAGAGCCTGCCACCGCCACCTACAGAGAGTAGTGGGGAGGTGGAGGAGAACACTGTTGAGCCTCGGCCAATGGCATCTGACCAAGGCCTAGATGCTTCCTTGAGTGAGTTACAGAAAGCTGACCCCACTCTTGCAGATTGTCATGAAACAGCCGTCTCTATGGAGGAAATTGTAGACGCAGCAACTGGGTACTACTACAATGATCGGATTTTGATGAGAAAATGGAGACCACCGAGTGCTCCCTTGTCAAATGAGTGGGAGGTAGTCCACCAGGTTATGTTGCCGACCTGCTATAGAGAAAGAGTTTTGGCAGCTGCTCATGATGATCCTCTGGGGGACATCAAGGTATTAATATTACGTATCACAAAATTTTAAAGTATTTTTTCTGGCCCAAGCTGAAAAGCGATGTGGCAAAATTTTGTAATGCGTGTGTTTGTCAACTGGTTGGGAAACCAAACCAGACTCCACCTAAAGCTCCTCTAAGGCCTATTGTCGTGCCAGAGGAACCATTTTCTCATGTGGTAATGGACTGTGTTGGACCATTACCTAGAACTAAGTCTGGTAATATTTACCTAATCACGATGATGTGTATCACTACTCGTTACCCAGAGGCTTTTGCTGTAAGGAACATCCGAGCAAAAACTGTCGTTGCTCGTATGTTGCAATTTTTTTCCACTTTTGGACTGCCTCGGGTCGTGCAAACTGACAATGGTACTAATTTTAAGTCTGATGTTTTCGAGCAATTTTGTAAGGAACATGGAATAACTCATAAGGTTTCCAGCCCATACCATCCACAGAGTCAGGGGGTAATTGAACGTTTCCATCTAACTCTGAAGCAGATGTTGAAGACATTGTGCGAGAGTTCCCACACCTTCTGGGATGAGAATTTACCGTATGTTTTGTTTGCGGCTAGAGAGGGATTGCAAAGTTCACTGGGCTGTTCTCCTTTTGAGTTAGTCTTTGGCCATAAAGTTCGTGGACCCTTGCAAATGTTACAGGAGAATCTGTTAGGGAACGTAACGTTATCCGAAGGTTCGGCTTTCTTTGCGCAACACCACCAGAGACTCAAGGACTGCAAGGCGGCTGCATTA